GAAGCTTTCATCTACATGCTCCTTTTTCTAGCCATCTACACCTGATCCAGCAAGATTCGTCTTTCCTCCATCCTTACATTCTCCAGATTTACAGAGAAAACACCGTCCTCTTTAACATATCCAGACCTTTTTTAACGGGGACTATACCACTACATTATCAGCTGTATTTGTTATCCCGAGCAATTCAAATTCATTCGTAATTGCTCATTCTCAGCTCTGCTCTTGTAGATTCCGTACTAAGTTTTCTTATTTTTAGTTACGTTTGCACTGCTTTTTTATTTTCACAGCTTTAATTCTATAATGCTGTAACGCTACAATATGGATCCATTTTTGTGGTTTATACTATTTTATGTTATTCGTAAGTGACCAACTTACTATAATAATTAAAGATTATTGTATTACAGGCCTGAAGATGTTCCTGTAAGGCCGAAACTAGTCGCTCCTGTATTTATTTATAATAAAATTGATTTTAAGGTTTTATTCTTCAATTGAAAAAATTAGACCTTTACAATGATTTTGTTTCATTTCTTGCATTAGACACATATAAGACGGTATTAATTTTAAAAATAGTAAAATTAGCAAATTTTTACGTTTTTTTTTTTACAATTAAAACGTTTGGACAATGTGTGTTTTTATAGATAAATGATACGCCACTGAACAAGAAGGATGTTTACCTTCCCCATTGTGCCCGCTTCCTCACTTCCTCTACAGATGTTGCTAACACAACAATCGCCCACAAACACGTTTTCACGCTCCCTCTATTAGTAATTGCTCGGAGGAAGATACCTACTGTTTTGTTCGTATGTTGGTAGAGCGCAAATGTCAGTATAACTGTCTTATATTTTCGGTAGTTGGAGGTTATGTCGTGTTAGTTGAAGTGTGACTTCCGAACATCAGGAAACGTTAAAAAATTGAAAATTTGGGTGATATAATTGTGTGGTAAGCAAAATGATTGTGTTAGCTTTACGTATCCTATATTTTTATTAGCTTGCTAATATTCGCATAAGATTTATTCGTTCAAATATATAATGGACTCAAAAGTACCGTCAGGATTCAAGTACTTATCTAAACATTATATTTTTAGGATTCAGCTGGAAATTGGATATAAAATATCAGCATGGCATCCTGGCGTTGTAACAATTTTCTGAAGCCATTGACAGACGAATAACTATTATTAGCAGCTGAACAAGCTGTAAATGAGCTGGGTGAAGAAGAATTGCCTCTTGATAATTCACCTGCTACAGATATTGAAAGCGATTTCGAACAAGAAGAAAATATATTTTCAGAACCAGCAGAGAGTGCACCTCTTCTTATAGATAATCATGATAATCAATGAGCTAATACAAATGTTCAAAGTGACAATGACAATAGTGTGATAAACTAACTCCTTGTTTATCGAAGAGAATTAATTAAAACTGATTTTATATAAAATCCCAATTTATTCGCATACTTTATGCATGCCAACTCAATACATCAATACATTCTGGTTTTTACATTCTACCTATCCTTTTTGATATATCAGCACACAACGTACATCATGTAACAACCGGGTTATTGCTGAGTAGACACTCCTTAAAGTCAATAACACTAGAGTTGAATTATTTAATTGTCGATGCACTAATACAGAAAGTTATGAAATATACTTATAACTATTCAACTATAAAATATGTAAAATAATAAATATCATTACAATAGTGAAAACAATTCTGTGCAAATTAGTAACAGCAAAGTGGGGAAAAATATTTAAAAAACACCTGATAGATGTTGGAAAAAAACGGGATCTGAATATTCATGTTCCCAATTATGACTTTCCTGAAGGTCCACTTTCTGACGAATTTTTAACATGCCATTCACCTACAGATTATTTCAAAAAGTTAGTAGGTAAGGCTATAGCAGACATAACATATCAGAGTAACTTATATGCTACCCAAAAAGATAAAAATCTGAATTTGAAAGAATGTGGTATTAATTTTTTTATGGGTTACCATTAATTTCCCAGCTATAAGCACTACTGGAGTACAAGTAATGATCTTGGAATAGAATTGTTTTCAGAATATAATCAGTTATTTGCATGTAAATGATAACCAGTCTATTCCACCAAATAATAAGAATAAAATATATAAAATATTACCCCTTGTGAATACGTTAAATGATAATTTTAGCAAGTTATATCATGGCACAAGAGAAAGGGCGGTTGATGAGTCAATGATCGTCTTCAAAGGGCGATCAGTATTGAAACAATATAACCCCATGAAACCTATAAAAAGAGGTCATAAACTATGGTGCTTGGCAGACCAATGGGGTTATGTGAAAACATTCGAAATTTATCAAGGCAAAAATGCTGATCTTGAAAACAAATTCAAAGACTATGGTCTAGGTGAAAGAGTGGTACTACAACTGACTGAACCTGAATGGGGAAAATATAGGCAGATTTATTTCACCAGTATTCACCTTCTGAAAAAATTGAAAATAGAAAAAACTTTAGCTTGTGGAACTATTCGTTCATCTAGGAAAGATTGTCCTCAATTATCCATTGAAGAGAAAAAAAATGGAACGTGGAAATTTCGATTATAGCGTTTAAAATACTGACATTAGTTTCTTCAAATGGAAAGATAATAAATGTGTACACTTCGCATCAAATTTTCATGGAAGTCAAACTTGTAAAGTAGGAAGAAAGGAAAAGGATGGATCCAAGACACAAATACCATGTCCAGATGTGGTAGCCGATTATATTAGGCATATGGGTGCCGTAGATCATGCAGATTAATTGCGTGGTAGTTATTGTGTTGATAGGAGATCTAAGAAATGGTGGCACCGTTTATTTTTTGGCCTACTTGACATAGCATTTGTAAATGCATACATTATATATTCAAAACTCGAAGAAGATAAAATGACGCTTTTAGAATTTAGACGCTCGGTAGCACAAGGCCTGATGAATGGGAATTCCGGTGGTCTCAGGATCAATATTAAGGGTCGTTGCAGTGCTCAATCCCGAAACTCTCCCGTTATGCCCCCAAAAAGAAGAAAATACAACTATAGTGTATGCCAAGATGTAAGATTGGGTAATAAAGGAAGTCACTGGGTGACATTCACAAAAGAAAGAAGAAGGTGTGAATAGTGTTCATCGAAATCGATCCAGTCTCGTCCACATTCAAAATGTACAGCTTGTGGAGTTTATTTATGTTGCAACGAGAAGAAAAATTGTTTTGCTGCATATCACGATGTAAATGTAGATCAAATTTTTCTTTGAATTATCTATAAATACATTATTCAACCAATGTAGTGTAAAAAAATTCTTCTTCAGTCCCAACGGTACTTTTAAGTCTACTAAACCTAAAAAACAAGTGGTGGGAGTAAGATTTTTTTTTCTAGGTAAAAGTGTGATCAAATTAACCGTTTTAGTTCTAAAAAGTGAATTTAAAAAAAAATTCTTAAAAAAAAGTGGTCTGGGACACAAAGGGCTAAGGTATTTGATATCATTTGTAATACTTATATGAAACTACTGAACGTTACCTTTTATTGTTTCTATAGGAAGAGGCCATCTTTTTGTAACTGTATAATGGAACAACATAAGTTTTATCAAAGGTTTGTAACTTTTTCTAATTAAACCATTCGAAAAATTTTATAAGATCTGTTTCTTTTAAAAAATTTGATCAATTCCAGTTCTCTGCATTTTATAGAATAACTGTGTCATCTGAAAAACTTACAATATTTTCATCTGTATTTAAATGACAAATTATTTAAATAAAATTAAACAAGATAGGACCTAAGACAGTATCTTGAGCATGCTATATGCTACTTATTTCCTAACTTGAGATATATTATTAATTATATTTGTGTTCGTTTTTATAAATAACTTTGTAATAAATTATATAGGGTGCATCACATTCATACAATAAACTTCTATTAAATGAAAAAAACGGCACATGATACAGTTACTAAATAATTTATTTACTTATATACTTCAACCGTACCACTTTTATTGTTGGAACAACTGTTGGTAGAAGTCTTATTTTTGGTTTTAAGGTTCGATGAAAACAATCTGCTTTAAAATGGCATGAACACAAAAAATTAAGATATCTTTTCTCACAATTTGTTTGTTGCATGAACTCAAGCTATAACGTTGTTCTTGAGAATCTTAAGGAAATCTAAAAATTGTCTATCTGGGATTAATTTATATAATTTGTAAATCTAAAATCTTCAAGAAATCTGAAAATTGTTTACTTGCAATTAATTTATAAAACTAAATTGAGCAATATAATTTATTTATTTTAACAACCACATAAATATCTTAATTGCATAAAAGAATTGTTTAAATAAAAGTATGTTTATTACCCTATAAACCATGAAACTACGCCTATGAGCACAAGGGTGGCGCAAAAAAACCGACTATATTTTTTTTGAGTCTTGAGTGAAAAAATGTTAGTTTTTGATGTTTTAAGAGGCCTCTCCAAAGGACAGCTCAAAAAAAAATTTTTAGAGATCGCTCCAAATTTTTTTATATTTCAAAAAGTGTCAAAAATCGATTTTTTTTTATTTTTTTTCTCAGTACGGTATAATTTTACAGACAAAAAAAAATAAGTTTCTGAAAGTTTCAGTTCAAAATTTAAATTTTAAAAGGTTGCTCATAATTTTTTTAAATTTATTCAGTGCATTACTTTAGATTTTTTCGAGCGACCTTTTAATATTCGAATTAAAATTCCATACATTTTATCTTTCTTATTTAGTGCAATAATCGATAGAAATACACCACGAGATGAACTAAAAGTCAAGCACAATATAGAAAACATATTTTTTTTTAATTCAATAATTTTATGTAATCAACTATAAAATTTTAACAATATTTCAATGAACTTTGTTATTAATTCTGAAACTAAATTTTAAATTATAACAGATTTCAACTTTAGGTAAATTATTATCATATATTATTTATATTATTTATATCGTTAATTATTAAAATTATTTAATATCATATTATTTATTTAAAGTTCGTATTAAATTCATTTTACTTGCATTGGGATATAACGATTTTCTTCGACAACTTGTAGTACTCTCTGCAGCTCATCTTCATTTTTTACAAATTCTAGATACTCCTGCATCAATGAAACACCACGCTCAGCAGTGTCATTAACTATATGTAATTCACGAACTATATTCAAACTCCTTAAGTAGGACTGATTCGAATTCCAGGTTGCAGGATGTGTTTCTAAGAACTTGTCACTCAAGTTTAAGACTTCGAAGATTCACGAAATGATGAATTTCCTTATTCATGATATCACTCTCTTTTATTTGGATACGGTTCAATGGCTGCTGTCCAGATTGTGTTTTTAAAGCTGACATCATTTTAATCTTTCCTTCAATTGAGATTTCAGAGTCAAAAAATGCCAATCCAATTAAATAGTCACTAATGTACCATAAATGCCGAGAAAAACTTTTTAGTGCGGCTGAACCTAACTTTTGATTTTGTTCTTTAAATTGGACCAGATCTTTTAATAATTGTAAATCAATTTTTGTGGCAATAGTAGGAATTTGGCAAAGAAACCAGGCTTTCAGATAAATTTTAATTACAAATGCGTTAAACTCTTCAAGCTCTTTCAAGATTAATTTAGAAACTTTAAATTGACCCCGGAAAATATATATTTTCAAACAATAAATTATTTTGGACATCCACCTAGCTCGATGATATGCCCCTGGCTTATTTATTGAAAAAATAGTAGGCTCACCAAGATGAATCAGGGATAATGTCAATAACTCTTTATAATCGTCTATTGGATGTTGGTTTGTTAATTGACCAAAGAAATTCTTTAATTCCCACTTGATCTTCAATGTTCCCACACTCAATTTTTTTTTTATCAAACTTTGGCCATTCTTTCTTGAAACGCTCAAATAATTTTATCTGAGGACCACTAGTTACAGGTTCTAATTATGAAGAGAATGTTGCTGTTAAAATCTGTTCCAACATATGATGCCTACAAGCAAAATGAAGCATTTTCTTTTTCAACATTGTTTCGAAATGAACAGCAGCTCCTTCATGTAGTCCTGTGTTACTTGCAGTCGTGTCAAAGCATAGTGACCGAACTCGATTAGAAATATTCCACTCCAAAAGTGTATTGTAAATAGCTGTCGCTTGATTAATACCTGATGATCCATCCATTATAGGAATATCCAAAAGTTTTGCTACTCCTTCTCCTGTAACTAATACTGCTAACCTATCTTCAGCTTGGGACGATGTTGACGTTCTCATTAATTTCGAATCCCAGTGCACGGTGAGACATGTATCTGGTTTGAATGAATCTTTTATATATTTACAGGTGTCTGCTCGATGTTTTTGGCGTGAACGACGGATGGTATCTTTACTGACGCTAACTTTTGATAAATCTTGTTTCAAAGATACAGATGTTGCAGCTACGATGAGTGTTGCGCTACGGTTCGAAGTTTTTGTTCGATCTAACATACTTGACAATGATGGGATTATAATATTTTTTTGCGTGGTTCAGTTAGTTTTCTTTTTTTAGGAGGGGAAGGATAAAATTCGTGTGATGACACACTACAACCTGATGCATTACTTTTTTGAGACAATAGTACAGGTGGTTCTGAATTACTTGATGACAAAGCCTTTTTAGAGTGTGTAACAGATTCCGTTGTTAAATTATTTACTTTTGTTTGAAGTTTACATTCAAACATATCATCTAAAGATTTTAGAAAAGCATTCTCGTTTTCACGCTGGACGTTTGTAAGCCTCAAACGATTCTTTTTCAATTTTTGCCAAGTGTCGAATATTTTTTTTATTTTTTCTTTAATATGAAAGTCCTTGATAATTACTTTCGGATCCCAGCATTGTTGAATTTGTTGAGTAGTCAATTTCAAAGCTTCTGCAATTGTCAATTTATTCTCGTAGTGATGAAATAAGAAAAAGCTGAGTACTTCCCATCGAGAAGGAATTCTAGTAGTTATCAACTGTTTATGGTATTCGCCAATTAACCATTCACCTGGGCCAGATGGTTTTGTTGATCTCAATTGTCGTTTGGAGTACATTTTTAGTCTACAAAAAAATATTACATGAAAAACATAGTCAAAAACCAAAATATTGATATATTTCAGATAAAAATTCTGAATAAAAATAAATGTTTATAAAACAATTAGATACATTAAAATTTATTGAGGTTAGGACAAAAAAATGACATAAACAACATAAAAATAATGGAACATACCTGTGCGTTAAACTAATATTTCAAACATTGTATCATTAAAAAAAATCACGAACTGACGAATAAGTATATTTTAATTAACTGTTATTATCTATGAGATCCTTTACTCGGAGTGAGAAGTAAACAGAAAGTCATGAAGTAATTGTTTACAAAAGTCCTGTACTCAGAAGTAAAGTGAAAAAGGCGCTGGTCTAATATGGTGTCAAAATAGAGAACTAATAATTTCGCTGCGTCGTAGTAGAAATTTCTATCTCAACGAAATGAAACCAGTAATTTTAGATTATTTAATACAAAACTAATAATAATTAAACGAAATGTTAAGAACTCAGAGGAAAAACAATTAAATATAATGATACGTTTTGCTTGTAAAATTATTAAATTAAAAAAAAATTATGTTTTCTATATTGTGGTTGATTTTTAGTTGATCTCGTGGTGTATTTTTATCGATTATTGTACTAAATAAAAAAAATGCATGGAATTTTAATGTGAATATTAAAAGGTTGCTCGAAAAAATCTAAAGTAATGCACTGATAAATTAAAAAAAATTATGAGCGACCTTCCAAAGTTTAAATTTTGATCTGAAACTTTCAAAAACTTATTTTTTTTGTCTGTAAAATTATACCGTACCGAGAAAAAAAATAAAAAAAAAAATAAAAAAAAAATTAAAAAAAAAAATTAAAAAAAAAAATTAAAAAAAAAAATTAAAAAAAAAAATTAAAAAAAAAATCGATTTTGGACGATTTTTGAAATTTAAAAAAATTTGAAGCGACCTCTAAAGAAATTTTTTTTGAGCTGTCCTTTGGAGAGGCCTCTTAAAACATCAAAATCAAACATTTTTTCACTCGTCGTTTTTTTTGCGCCACCCTAATGAGCACAGTTGATCGTAGACGCACTTACTATGTTTGTTTACAAATTTAAAACATTAAAAATTTTAAAAATCATTAATGTGGTTGAAAATTGAGAGAATAAAATACATTCTTATGAAATGTAGATTATTCCTTTCTACTTTTAACTGTGCAATTCTTCATTAAAAAAATCTACAACTTCCTCAGAACTGAGGTGCATCATACCAAAATGAAGTTTTAAATATCTACCAATTACAGAGTTTTCCCCTTTATATTCCGGAACTAAATTATATTCTTGAATTTTCCGAAACCATGCTTGGCAGAGATGAAATTTGCAACCCAAAAGAATAAGATATCTCCCAAAATATTTATAGGTATATTGCGTTGTGAATGCTTAATTCAAAATCTACCACAATCTCTATTGGTTTAAAATTTAAACCAAAAGCTTTACACTTATTACTTAAAAGGAGGAATACATTGTAGTATGTTTCACTTGATTTATCAGGTAATAAACAAAAAACAACCGGTACATAATAACCGTCTTTAAAACTATGAATCGTAAACATTTGGTAAAAGAAATTTGTACAAAATTTGAATGTTCCGTCCTTCAAAATACACTCTGACTGACACAAAAATGTAAATTTGAAAAACAAGAAAACACAATTATTTTTTTTACCTTATCTACCACCATTAGAAATTCTTCCCCGCGATTTGTATTTAGATGTAACTCGAGAACAGTATTGAACACCTCTTTTTGGTTTTTAGGTAATATTGGCAAAAATTTTCTTCTTGCCGCATGCATATTTTTTCTTATTTGATTGATATCTTCTGAGTTTATGTTCTCCGCAAAATTATTTGCTGTCAGCTGGATCACAAGTTGCTTTTCTTTTAACACTATTGCTCACTGCATTTCTTGCAAGATTCATTGCCACACCATGATTGTGTTCTGCTTTAACCTCTATTATTACGTCTTCATTGGAAACGTGGGAGTACACTCTAGCTGTACATTTAACGTTACAGAATTTCCATCGAATCTTTCCACATTTGCTAAGCTTCGGAAGACTTAAAATTATTTAATACAGTTAATTTATTTCCTCTTTCACTAAACAACTAAGGTAGATAATAAACTGTTTCATAAACCTTTATTAAGAAACAAGTAACCTATTTCCCTAAATATTAAAACCGAGCAGTCGTCAAAATATTCCAAGAATTCCATCAATTTAGTCTTTGAGAAAATATATTAATAATTACTTATTTAATTTTTGTATCTCTTCTGAAAGGTCTTTAGGTATGAAAAAATATTTAAATCCTTAATCCCTAATATGGATAAAATCTTATGCCCCTTAATGGTCATGGCAGAGTTCGGACTATTCACTATTCCCTAAGTTGTTATAATTCAGGTAAAATTTTAATTTGTGGCAGAATTCAGATGCGCCCAAGTGAATATGGAAGGCTTTTTGTTTACTCTAGAAAAAATACGTTCAGGTGAATATATTTCAAGAAAACTACAATGTAATAATTATATCTACGGACAAGCTCGGAAAATTATAATTAATCGTCCTTGAGGTAAGTCGATTAATTTTTTAATTTTGGTTGTTATTGGATTCATAATCAAATTTAAGTCGTAAAATAGAATCGATTGTTGGCAGACAAATAAAAACAATAAATCAAATGAATTAATATATAAATTTACAAACAAACAAATCTCGGATAATGCCAATGTAACAATATTAGGTAATAGGATTATGTAGTTTTAGAATATATATTTATTGCAGCTTTTATTTTATACCAAAACGTAACATTATTAATTTGCATGCGACAATAATTGATAAAACAAGCTTTAAAAGGATATCGTAGTTGAATTAATATTGTAGTGAAAACAAATTTGACCACGATAAATAATTAAATTTGTTTTATAGATTTATTTGCTGCATTGGATAATCGTAGCAAATGCATATATTTTTAAAAATATTGTAATGGTATAAAAACGGAAAACGGAAAACGGAAAACGGAAAACGGAAAACGGAAAACGGAAAACGGAAAACGGAAAACGGAAAACGGAAAACGGAAAACGGAAAACGGAAAACGGAAAACGGAAAACGGAAAACGGAAAACGGAAAACGGAAAACGGAAAACGGAAAACGGAAAACGGAAAACGGAAAACGGAAAACGGAAAACGGAAAACGGAAAACGGAAAACGGAAAACGGAAAACGGAAAACGGAAAACGGAAAACGGAAAACGGAAAACGGAAAACGGAAAACGGAAAACGGAAAACGGAAAACGGAAAACGGAAAACGGAAAACGGAAAACGGAAAACGGAAAACGGAAAACGGAAAACGGAAAACGGAAAACGGAAAACGGAAAACGAAAAACGGAAAACGGAAAACGGAAAACGGAAAACGGAAAACGGAAAACGGAAAACGGAAAACGGAAAACGGAAAACGGAAAACGGAAAACGGAAAACGGAAAACGGAAAACGGAAAACGGAAAACGGAAAACGGAAAACGGAAAACGGAAAACGGAAAACGGAAAACGGAAAACGGAAAACGGAAAACGTAAAAACGGAAAACGTAAAACCAAAAGCAGAAAGCAGCCGGGCTCGCTCGGAGCGAAGAAGACGTAGTTACTTTAATATCAAATTTAAGTTCGATTTAAGTAAGCTAAATAACTATTAGGAACGAAATAAGACAAAAAAAACTCCTGCTTATACCATTTAATAAACCCTCCAATGCATAAATATGTAACCTCAGGCTTTAATACAAACGGCCACAATGGAACCCGAAGTATTCCCACTGCCAGCACTCGACTGGAAAATTAAGAATTACTCTAAGTAAATTTCTAGGGAAAGAACTCTCATTTCATCTTACATAAAAACATTCACATAAATACACGGCATGTACTTTGGTTACACAATATAATATTTGTTTGTACAAATTAGTAATAATGCATAATTTTAGTCTTCAACGATATTTAAAAAACGCCATATTTTGGAAAAAACCTACTAAATAAAATAGATACTGATTTAAAAAAATATTTTATCTACAACTGTCATTATATGGATGTATTATATGCGTATCTAAGGCAACATAAAGCAATCCATATATCACTAGTGAGAATATATTCATATTACACGATTTTTGTCAATTATACCCCACTAGAATTAAAAATCATTAGATCTAGTATGCGTTTGACAAGTTAGTTGACAGCATGTTGACAGTTATTCTTTGTTCCCGATTCTTTTTTGAAATTAAACTTAAAATAGTAAGCCTGTTTTAAGTGTTTATCAATTAAAAAATGGAAGACGATGATTACATGGAACTAACACCTCCTGAAATCCGCGACGCTGCTAAAGTGGCGTCGTCGTTGAAATTATTACCTGAAATATCAAGAAAACATTATGAGATTCATACAACAAATTTATGTCGTGGAAACAAACAAAAAATGTATCCTCTTTTTCCGAAGACACTGTGCTTGTATATTTTATGGAAATTTCTAGTAAATACAAATCGTCTACTTTATGGACAAACTATTCCATGCTAAAAAGCATGTTAAACATCAAGCACAATGTCGACATTGATAAATATCCGAGATTACATGCTTTGTTGAAAAGGCGATCCGAAAATTACGAACCTAAGAAATCTGAAGCTCTGACTGGTGAACAAATTGAGAGGTTTATAAAGGAAGCCCCAGATTTTAAATATCTTGGAACAAAGGTAAAAACTCGAATCGAAAATCAAAATTCTTTAACTTAATCTACACATTTTTTTAAGGTTGCCTTGATTATGGGGGTCATGGGCTCTTGCCGATCCTGTGAAATAAAGAATTTTGAAAATTGGGGATTTAAGATGTTTTGAGGGATGTTTTCAAGTAAACGTGCCACACACAAAAACCAAAGTCCCAAGGAATTTCACAATTGTGGATAATTTTTTTAAAATCGTTAAAAAATATATCGGAGGTCTATATATTTTTTAACCGAAAATG